ACGTGTATTTAGTTTATTTTATGCCTTTACCATTAAAGTTATGTAAAACAAATTCTGATATACGTCAAAATTTTAATTTTCATTCCAGCACCTTCGATCTCTCAGTCTCACTTTTTAGCATCAAAAAAACTATTCTTACTTCTCGCAACAGTTAAATTTTAAAATTCCATAATTACTGAATTTCAGCTGTTGAATTATTATGTTTTCTGTAGCTGAACAGTTTTAAATCTCGACGCTTCCCAATCATGACTCGGCATATTCCATACGTTACGCGGAAGTCGCCTCTCGTGTCGGTTAGGCGGGTGAAGGGTATTCGTTGGGCTTATTATTATTATTAAATGGAAAAACAACTTCAACCATACGCAATTAAAATTAATTACTCAAAATCGCATATAAATAATAATTATTTATGTACGTGCAAATGAGTTTTTTGGCTTAAAGCAGTAGAAACTCGAAAAAAATGCGTTTAGAAAAAACCAAAATGTTTTAGAGACATTAGTATCAATTATACTCAGAAATGTTTAATTTTTTTTTGTTCCCATTTCAAATTCACACGTATTTTTTGTTTAGTCTTAACTAACTGCCCTACATTTACTATTTCTATTAAGACTTGCTCTTTTTATTGGCCCTTAAAATATATTTTTTATCGGATTTTGTAAAAGCTGCGCATCATCAATTTTCTCAAAATAAAATTTTGTCATCAGGACAAGCCGTAATACCTCGGAACCAACAACACCATTACCACCTCAAAATTAGTATTCAGCATAAGATTCATACCTATTGCACATTCGATGGCTTTAAAAGAAGAATACGCTAATGTTTCTCAGGTTTTGATTTCAAGATGGATGGAAAAATGGGTTATTTGGGTTGATCCGAAAGTGGTTAACTTCAGACAAGAGGGAGTGCACAAATTTCCCTTGTGTCAGATGTCTCTGGCATAGTCGTGACAAACAAAAACATTTGTCAAACAAAAGTTTGTATAAAAATATTATGAAGATTCCTTTAGCTAGACGAGAGCTCATCATGCATTCCCCACTTCATATTACACTCGGCTTAGGGAAACATAATAAAACTAGTGAAAGTTTTGAATTTCTTTCAGGCGAGTTTCCAGGATCATTTTCAATGGGCTACAGGCTGGAAAACTTATGAAAGATTATAATTTTGCCCAGTCAATTATTGACTGAAGATGAATCAAAACCTTGAGCTCATTTCTTTTGGTTATGAGTAACCGATAACCACTTCGAGCTTATTGAGTACATTGTATTTAACTGGAAAAATTTACGGTGTAATAATCTAGCAAACCACTTTTATGCTACACGTTCGTTTACAGTATCGGTCTTTGGTTGCTTTTTCGCCTTGATCGAGGAAAAATTGTAAAATATAGCGAACTTTCTCCTTCCTGGTGTCCATCTTTGACGATCGCTCACAACGTACTGAGTCAATCAATCGAAAAACTGTCCAAGACAAACTTTTAGCGCGAATAAACACGTTTACAGCGCCGTATAGTATGATATGATGCCATCTCTTAAAAAAAACCGAACGAACTTTTTACTTGACCTAATATAAGCTTAAAAGATCACTTCCTGCGCTTGCTTTTAAACGTATTTCCCTAAAATCTGATTGAATTCAGTGAGGAACAGGGTGAATAGGAGTGCGTTGAGACTCACATATGATGGCAGATCACGGCTGGAGCTGGCAACGGTATCTACCTAAAGTCGTTCATTTAAGAAATATAACACCGGCCGGCAAAAATTACCTTTTCTTTGACCCACGAAAAAATCAAACGTTTTTGGAAACCCACACCAGAAGACCAAAAAAAAAACATAGTACATACCGTGTCTGGATGTTTTGCTGGATCAAGTTATTTACGGTTATTAGGGCTGAAAGAATTTTGACCGCCATATTGCATACGCCATTTTGAACTTTAAAAATCTGACAGCAGATTCTTAATCAGCGACCCCAAATACTCCAGATATCAATTTCTATAAATTATTAATAATTTAAAAAAAAAGGTCTTGTCACTTTTCATTTCGTGTTTCAAAAATCATGTCGGACGGCTTAATATTATAAAAGATCATTTAATATTTTTAAATGGATAGCATTTTTTGAATAATTTCTTCAATTCTCTGTATTTTTTAATTAAAATAATAAATCTGTATAAATTGTGCTTCTTAATGGTTTTCAAGGCGTATTCAAAAGCAAATAGTTATGACCAAGATTTTAGCTTAATTCTAAAAACAAGAGTTCGAAATTATGTATTAAAAATTTTTTCGGCCAGGTTACCAACGCTGCTGGCTCGAATAAAATTCTGCCGAGAGGTCCAGTTTTGCACCACATTTTGCAGCAATTGGGGTCGTATGGAATAGTTTCCACCAAGGCCTCAATCGTCTCGGGTTTACCTGCATATATATACAATATATATATATATTGGCGCTTTGTAATTGCTTGAAGCAATTTTCGGCCGAGCTCCTTCTCAAATTTATGGTTTGGCGTCTTGATGTTTTACTTGCATAGACGAGCGATTTCACATAATTCCACAAAAATCCCGCTGTGTTAATTCGAAAGATCTTGGAGGCAACGCCACAGGTCTACTACGTCGTACATATATTGCTCTGAGCAAAAAATCGCATAAATAAATTTATTGTTTGGCTTACTGTATGACATGTAACGCTCTCTTGTTGGAATAAAAAAAGATAGTCCACATCAACGCCCTCCAATTCAGGCAAGAAAAAGTCATTATTCATGGCTCTATAGCGTTCCCCATAGAATATAGTATAACATTATGGCTGGCTCCATTTTTGAAGAATGATTCCCTCATCCCACATCAATTAAGAAGAAAAAGATTAATTCACGGTTTAGAAATTACCATTTAAAAAATTTTTTTTTCGAACTCGCAACCCATAGAATAAAGGTTATGAACTCAGCACGCCCAAACGCGGTTATGTAATATTTTTATTCTTATAACAAGCTGATAAATTTATTTCGGTACGAGGTGTGACAATAAAGTAATAAGAATAATTATTTTGTCGCGATTGTGGTAACCCTGCGATCTTTTTCTTCTCCTGGCAACCTTCTCCTCTCCATTGATACATGTATTTGCCATCGCTGTAGCTTGTTTAGTTCGCCTGCTGTGTCGTGTTGAGTAAACGTGTGTTCGTGGTGCTCGGTGGTCAAATAAACTTATTTAGAGTCGATTGAGGACATCCAGGCGGCGGTGACAAGGGTACTCACGGACATCACAGTCAAAGCGCTGCCCAAAGCGACTACTTTGAAGGAGATGACAGACTTGTAAAATAATTTTGAAATATACGGTTTTTAAGGAATCAGTCTCATTACTTAATTGCCACACCTCGTATGTTTTTATTCTGACTTTGTACTCGCGCTCATGCAATTCAAAAGTACAGGTAATCATGATCTACGGCGTTTAGCAAAAAAAAAAACAGCTGCGAAAATTGAAACGTCAAAATAACAGTCGCAATGCAATAAAATATTCTTGCGCTAAACATTGATTTTCTTCTATTTTTCTGCTCTTTATTTTTTTGCGTTATTACAAGCGTAGTGTTTGCATATACATATGTACTCATACATATATGGACTCGTACATGCCAAAGCCCATATGAATTCCCATAGTCTCGTTGTCTGTTCATAATGTTCAAACAACTTCAAAGCCGCTTCAATTAAATTCTAGGTTAATGACGCATACGTAAATACATATTTACAGGTATATAATGGTGTGTGAATTAAAGTAGCCTATGTGAATTTATATTGAACAATAAATAAATTGATTTTTTTCTAAAACCCAACTGCTACACTTGTACGTATGTATGTACTTTTAACTGGCTGGTGGGCAATGCTTATGAAGAGAAAATATTTATTTAATAAAAGTAAGTAAGTTTGTCACTAATGTTATTTTATTGCATAGATTTACTGGAAAAAAAATTAAATTCAATTTGAAACCCAATTTTCATGGATTTTTGATGGATTTTTGAACCAAAATCTCATATCTTCGCAAATCGGTTGTATGGGAGCTATATGATGTAGGTCTTTGATCTCTAAGATTCAGTCAAAACATTTATTTGTAGATGCGAATGTACAATATAATGCCGCTTAATCAAGCTCTTATACACTTTTCTTTCAGATTTTCGGACCAAAACTCATGTCGGAACCCTTATGTATATTATAAACCTCTAATTTCGACCAGTTTCAGTACCAGTATATGTATATAGAGCACCAAATTTTGTACTCTTAGATGCTTTTTTGAGAGGTTTTATACCTAAAGCCTCACATTTGTAAGAAACGGTTGTATGGGGGCTATATGAAATAGTTCTCCGGTTTCGATTATTTTCAGTACAAATTTTTTATCTATTATATCTGTGCCGAATACATTATTTCAAGCACTCAAATACTGTTGACAAACTTATGATCTAAAATCACAAATCAGGTCAATATATGTTATAGTGGTCTGATCTGTCCGGTTTCTATAAACGATCGTTGAAATCTACTGGGCTTGATTGAAATATAACAAAACCTGATGACAGACGGACTCGGCTAAATCAACACAACTCGTTATTTGGGTCTACCCGATCGGTATAAATTTTGATGAGTCTATCTTTACACTTTCATGTACGTATATACATACATACTACCGATCAAAGTTAATGTACTTTTCCCAAGTACATGAAAGGTATAAAAAACACACAGCACATTTATGTACATTTAGATATGTATTTACTTTTGTATATTCTTATGTGTTGGCCAGGTTATTTCTATATACATATTATATGTACATGTGTATGTATGTAGGTATATTGTCGTAGCTTACAATTTTTATGTGACACATTTTGCTAATAAACAATTTTGCGAAACAGATTCTAAATCAGCATATGTACATATGTATATGTATATAAGTACATGTGCACTCTGAAACACATCTGTTGGCTTACAATTTGAGCAACAACAAAAACTTAAATGACCTAACTATAAAAGCGATTTCATTTTGTTTTGATCCAAATAGTCGCTCGTCAGTTTAATGCGTGTGGAGTTATAACGGAACTAAAAGAAAAACTTAAAAACAGTCATAAAATAAAAAATGTTTACAACGCGATATTTGTTAATATTCAGCTTGCTTGTGATTTGTGCCATAAGTAGTGTGAGAAAACTGATATTTTATATAAATAATATTTTATTTAAATAAAATAATTATTATTATGCAAAAAGACTTTTATATTTAATAAAATATCTCTGATTAAGTGCTAAATATTCATGGCAACATCTTTTATATACAAAAGAAGCTCTACTGAAATCCGATCGCAATTGTTTTTATATCGATTTGGATTTCCGACTCGTAATCGAAAATGTGTTCTGCAAGCCGAAAGCAAATTTACACACGATAGTAGCCAGCATACAAAAACAAAAAGCCTGTGTATTTTCTTTAAATTCGCCTTGTCCAACCCTGTCGGCATTAAGAAATTCGAACAGAAAGCAAATCCCATTCTAAGTGTCTAAATTCAACTGTTAGTTCTGTTCGGCGAGATGGTGACCAGCAATAATTGGTAACAATTCTTACCAATTGTCACTGAACAGCTTTCCTTTGCGGCAAATAACTACGAGACAGCACAATTCTCACTCTTAGCATGCGAACTGGCAATTCGTGTGGGGAAAATTTTAGTAAGAAGTGTCAAGGAAAGAATACAAATAATTGCTATTTTTGACAACGGAACAAAAATTAATGAAAATTAAAATTAATTTAATATTTTAAGCGTAATTTTGTTAAATTATATTGAATTTATCAATTGAATAGTGAATATACTCTTTGAACGAAAATGTGGTTACGGTGAAATGGAATGGAAGTTGGGAAAGATGAGGGCATTGAATTGGAATACATTTGTTATTTTTTATTTTAAACTGGTTTATTTTACTTTAATTTACTTGAAAACAGTTTCAGTACAGAGAGCGCCATGTAAATGAACAGTTGTCACTGCTTGCCGATGCCGTTACTGACGGTTGCCCCGCAGAAACCAGCGGCGATTTGATTTTTTCCGTAAAACCAGTTTTGCTCATTACTCGCTGTTATACAAGGTTGCCAGTGTAGACTTTTTTAAAGGAATTTTAAATAAACTAATAAAAATGTGTAGTTTCTTCAAAAGTAATAGAAACTCAATTCGTAAATAATTATTTATTACCATTGGCGTTTTTGTATATTCAAACAAAAAATTTAACGAAAAAAAATTGACGAATATTATTAATTTGTTTAAAAATATCCAAAGTCACTGGCAGCTGGCAACATTTCGCCGCTATTAGCGGCATTAACTAGTGTATGCATATCCCTCTTCCAGTCGGGTGTTACGGCTGTGAGTTATGTAAAATGGGTAGTTGCAGCATTAAGCCTCCTAAGGACATTTGTATATGTATATATGACCTTTTGGAACAGCTGAAGTGATATTCAGCCGAGTTGCCTCCTCCGATTTGTGGTTTTGCGTCTTGATGTTTTATTCAACAAATGGAGGGACCTACAGTTTATACTAAGCCACCTCCGTACACCTGAAGGCTTTTTATGAGGAGCTTTTATTTCGAGTCAGAAGCACAAACGGAGGCCAAAAAAATAAATTGATTTTCTATAATTTCTTGCCACTTGATCGGACCAGGACTGAAAATCGTTATACAGACAGTACAGTTCTTTTAATCCAAGTGAGTTTTTAGAAGAGCAACAATAATTTGTATTTGTGGAAATTTTACGATGCTTCAAACATCTAAGAACCTGCACACTTCGGCGCATAATCTTTCCAAAACTACATTTAATCGTGTTTGCCTACGTCAGAGCTGCAATTTCTAAAATTTTCAAAGTCGCACATCAATAAGTTCTATGGGCACTCAAATGAGATTCTATATGTTAAGACATTATTCCTAAACCGACTTATGAAGTATGCCCGAATAAAATGTCGCCGTTCCAAGAAAACCCCCTATCAGTTTATTCCTCGGCCAGTAGTGAGGCCTTTTGGCTAACTCCATCAAAATATATCAAATTGGTTAATTATTTTTATCAAAATTAATTACAAAAACAAAAGTCATTTCCAATTGTTTCTAGGCTATAGTTATTCTTAGTATAAATTTGGCAAGTGTATAATACCAAGAGAGCCAACTGGTCTTTCCAACGGAGTGGAGGTTTTTCCCTTTCTCTGTTTACATCGGTTACTGCAGCTAAAACTTTCAAAACAGAAATATTGCTATTCATTCGGACTATATGTATGAACTAGCCAGCGTAGCCGCTGTCTCTTGATTCGGTGAACTATGTCAAAATCCCCGTATATCTCTTACAGTTCATCGTTCGATCGGCTGCGGTATACGCCGTTTCCCTCTCGCATAGTACCTTTCTTTCGAAAAGCCTGAACGCCATCACATCAGATATTATCGTCGTCGAACAGACTACCTGAGAGCAAAGAAAAACAATATTGTCTACGGCATGTGATGGACATTTGACGGCATTTTGATTGTATATTTATAACTTTATGTTTAGACTTTATAATTGTTATAGGATTCTTGTTTTTGTGGCCTATCTTGTACATATAGATATCACATTTTGGCTACTTTTGCGCTGTACCCCCGAACTCTACTCATGAATCCCAGCGGAAATTTTTTGCAAACTTCGATACATTTGGAATTATTTTCGACCACTTCTTGACCAATAAAAAAAAGTCTTGTCTAATGGCACGAACTCTACTACCAATGACATTGCCAAAACGGGAGAGTACGGGGCCGGGAAATTTCTTTCGCAATAAAGACATATTCGCCCATGCTGTGTGACATGTGGCACCATTTTGTTCAAATCCTCAGATTTTTCTCAGTTCGAGAAAAAAAAGTCGCTCCGAATTTAAAGTGACAGTGACAGTCTCACCGTTGTCGTTTTCAAAGTAGCAAGATTCGAGTGAGAAATTTCCCTCGTCTCGAAAAGTCGCCGTTTACTGCTTGCTATTCGAGCACCCAATACAGTGTTATGAATGGTCAGTTGGCTTCAGTTGTTGTGTGAGCTGGACTTATAATGGATGCAGGTGTAAGTTCATGTGCAATAGACGTCATAATGATCCGTAAGGGAGTCCCAGCTCTTGAAAACGTCGAGAAACAGACATACGAGTATACGGTTCTTCAGAAAGAGGTGGAACGAGAAAAACGATGATGCATCAGCCTCATAATATCTGTAACCGATACAGACTTTTCACATTTCTGTAAAATTTTCCTTGAGAAGTTGGACGATTTTGTGTAGAAAACATTTTCATAAGTGTTTGACATTGGTTTGACAGTTAATTTTGCTCTTAATTGATCCCCTGGACACGTGGCATGTAAATCAAAATCTCTTGCGTCTCGGCGCAGCTACATAACTTATTGACGCTCTCTTCAATGTCAAACTCATATTAATTGTATTTATCTATTAAACTTTTTATTTAATGTTTAAATTAAAATTGTTCTCATTCTTACAGAGTTTTACTGCTGTGGCAAATCCTACATCAATTTCGGATTACGAGCAACCCTCCCGACGATTATATAAAGCACACGAATTGTGTTTGCCGATCGTTACCGACGTCTCATCAGCTGAAAGCGAGCAGGGCATGCAAAGAGCTGCCACCTACATTCGCTGCATGGTTAGCAATATGGGCTTATGGACCGACAGCGTTGGCTATAAAGCTAAAAGAGTAGCGAAATTTTTCATGAAACAACATAGCGAACACGAAGTCATGGCTTTGGTCGAGTACTGTAATCAAAAAAATCAACAGGAAAATCTGGATTTATGGGCTTTTGAAGCATATCGTTGTGCGACAGCCGGACGAATGGGCACTTGGTTGGGAGAATATGTGCTGAGCGCGAAATTGTAGTGAGAGGAGGAGAGAGAAAGTATTTCAAGCTAATTTAACTTTGATAAAACAAAAATATAAGTATTATAATTATGGATTATTGAAAAGTATACCATTATGGTGTGACATATTTTCAAATAGTACCCAAGAAATAAGATTTTAATTATTAATATTAAATTTATTAAACAAGAATAAATCTGAAAATTTATTTTTCAAAATTTTCCTGTGCATTACCGGGTATGTACATTCATATGTATATATGTTTACTTATACATTTGTCATATATAATAAAAAAGTCAATATTTTTTCCATATTTCCGCTTATCTTTTGATAGCAATATGTATTGAGTTTCACATTTCGCTTTCAAACACAAATCAAGCCACATGATTTCCCGTACGTCTCTCATGCAGCTTACGTTCCACATCCTCCTTGAACCACTGACCCACCCGACTATTCAACACACATTTGAAAGCGTTGTAACACCACTTCAGTGTCGGCGCATTGTTTGTATTTCGATTGCAGTCACTCAATATCGGCACCAGTACTTCCGTGTTCGCCTTATCACGATAAAGTGCCGCTATATGTTCCACATTAAAACCGGTACGATCATTCCACAATTTCAATTCATTCCAAATGCAGTGTACATAGCGATGTACGGGCGCTTCGTCTGGATAAACAAAATTATCGAATTGACGTTGATAGCTCGCAGCGAGACGTTCACGTTGGAAGCAGCGTTCGCTGGCAGTTAAGAAATCTTCCTCTGTTTTCTCCTCGAAATCAGCGCCAATCTGCCGCACCAGCAGAGGTGAACAAAAATGTGCCATAAAATGTGTAAAAAATGTTATTAATTTAATTGAAATTTATTTACTTATGTACGAGTGTGTATGTAGGCAGATATAAAAATCAATGGTACTCACGAAATTGCAAAAATTAAACAAAAGTATGATAATCCAAGTGAAAGCGATCGTTGAGCACTTCATTGCTTCTGTCATTGTCACGGTGTAAAATACAACTGAGAAGAATAAAGAAGCTTCATTAGAGTCGTTGGACGCGCTGAAATTGCATACAATAGCACAATGCCTCCCAACGCCTCGGTGAGTGCAGTTCACACTATTTAGTCTGGGCTATACGTACATACATATACATATACATATATACATGCATATTAACATATGTACAAAGCTAAGGCGAATAATTTAATCGTAATCTTAAAATAAAACGCTGCGCTACTTTGAAGTCAGTCTGTCGTTTGAATTGATTAGACTTTTTCACTGCCAAAATCAAATATAATTGTTTTTGAATGGTCTAATGACTAATGACATTTATGTAATTACATATACATATGTACATATACACATATATACATATACATGAGCACGGGGAGAACCCACGATGGTCATCTTTATGGAAATGAAAGAATATATGTGATTTTCAATATCGACTAGGTAATGATGATGATATGTTAGACATATTTCATAAATTCGTTGAAAATTGTGTTGAGTAATCCATATGAGAAAACAGTTATAATAGAAAGAAATCGGAAACCCACACGACCTATGAAACTACTGCCCAAATACTAAGTCTTAACAGCAGAGATACACAAGAGGGAGAATCTCACTTCACTAGCTTTCACTACATGCGCCGATCGGAACAAATTTCAAAAAAATGTTTGCCTTCTACGAAAATTGGCTCCGGAAGTTAATGCACGAATTGATGTATAATAGAAAAGTAATAACTTCGTCCAGATCAACAATAATTCCTTTATTTCGTTGCTCAAAAATATTTACCGCAGTGCGTGTTTGACATGATCGTAAGGCAAATCGTAAATAAAGTAAAATAATATGAAATAAAATTAAATAAAAGTAAGTAAAATAAAACAAAATAAAAAAAAAAAATTAAAATAAAATTTAATTATATTTAATAATATTAAATAAATGTAAATACAGAAAAAAATAAAGAATAAATAACTGAAGAATTAAACGTATAAAATAAAAAGAAATAATCAGAAAAGCAAATAATTATAAATTTAATAATTTAACATTAAAGAAAATAAAATGGAAAAAATAAAAAAAAGAAATAATTTAATATAAATTAAAATATATTAATATAAGATAAAGAAACAGTAAAAAATTTAATAACTAACAGTAAAATTAATAAAATAGTAAAAAATAAAATAAAATAATAGAAAATAAAATAAAATAATAAAAAACAAAATAAAATTAAATAAGATAAAATGGAAACAATTTAAAAACTAAATTATATTGCAACAAAATAAATTAAAATAAAACTAACTTAAAAGCATTTATAAAATTTAATAAGAGGAATAAAATAAAATGATATCAAATGAAATAAAATTAAACTAAATTAAATTAGGGAAATAAATAAAATAAGAGAAATTAAAAAAAAATTAAATTAAATAATATAAACCAAACTAAAAAACTAAATACAAAAATTAAATATTTTAATATAAAATTAAACGAAATGAAATAAATTCCAAATAAAGAACGAAATAAAAAATAAAATAACGCAAAAAAAAATTAATATAATAAAAAAAATTAAATTCAATTAAATACTTAAAAAATATAAATAAATAAAAGTATCATATAAACAAATAACTGAAAAATAAAACATATAAATAAAAAAGAAAGAACAAATAATTATAAATTTAATAATTTAACATTAAATAAAATAAAATGGAAGAATATAAATTAAAATAGATTAAGAAAGTAAAAACTTAAATAAAATACATTAAAATAGTAAAAATATAAAATAAAATAAAATGAAATAAAACGAAAAAAAACTTAAACAAATAAAATAAAATAAAAAAATACATTAAAATAATAAAAATATAATATATATATATATATATTAATATGAAATAAAAATAAAATAAAAAATTAAATTAAAAACTTGTATAAAATTTATTAAAAGAAATCAAATTAAACTAAATTAAATTAGGAAAAATAATTAGATAAAAACGAAATAAAAAGAAAAAATAAAACAAACTATGTTAAAAAAGAACCAATTAAATGTGAAATAAAATAAAATAACGTTAACTAAAAATATATAACAAATCAAGTAAAACAAAAAAATTAATTAAATGAAATACAGCAAAATTAAATTAAATACAATTTAAAAAAATTAAAAAGAAAATAGTTATAAAACAAAAAATTGATAAAATAAACCAAAATAAAGTAGAAAAAAATAATTCAAGTAAATCAAATAAATAAAAAAATAACAAAAATAAATACTTAAAATAAAAAATGTAAAGTAAAATAAAATTGAAATAAATAAAGAGAACAAAAAAAAAATAAAATGTAATAAAAAAGAACAAATTAAAAGTGAAATAAAATGATGATAACCAAAAAAGTATGGAAAATCAAGTAAAACAAAAAAAATTTTTAAGAGAAATAAAGCAAAATAATATAATAAAAAATTAAATAAAATATTAAATAATCGATAAAATAGATAAAACAAAACAAAATTAAAATAAGAAACAATTTGAAAAATAACTTAAAAAACAGCGAAAGAAAATAATTTAAAATAAAATAAAATATTTTATAAAACAGATCAAAATAAAGTAAAAAAAATTAAATAAAACTAAATAACTCAAAATAAAATAACAAAGAATTAATACATATAAATAAATACAGCTAAAAAATATAATATATAATTAAATAAAATACCGTACAATAGATAAAACAAAATAAAATGAAAATAAGAAACATAAAAAAAATTTAAAAAATAGATAATAATTTAAAATAAAATAAAACAAACCAAAATAAATAAAAAAAATAAAATAAATTAAATAAAATAAAATTATTAAAAATAAAATAACAAAAAAATATTTAAATAAATCAAGAAAAAAATAAAACAAACTATGATAAAAAATAACAAATTAAAAGTGAAATAAAATAACGTAAACCCAAATAATATGGAAAATCAAGTAAAACAAAATAAAAATAAGAAACATAAAAAAAATTAAAAAAAAAATAGATAATAATTTAAAATAAAATAAAACAAACCAAAATAAATTTAAAAAAATAAAATAAATTAAATTAAATAAAATTATTAAAAATAAAATAACAAAAAAATATTTAAATACAATAAATCAAGAAAAAAGTAAAAATATATGAAATATACAACAAAATTAAAATAATTAAGCTACTATAATTTAAAATTTTCCAGACAAAAATATTGTATCAAATAAATTTATTCTATTAATAACTACTACTAATTTTACCCGTATTTTTCCAAGAAATTGATATGCATACAAACTAATAATTAAGTATAATTACTTTGTTGTTATTTTGTTGATTTTTCTACAATAGAACAAATCATTTATGATAATGCCCACTTCGAGCTTCTCTAATTGTGATTAAATGTAACAGAGTGACTGAAACTGACCTTTAACTGCACTTTTCACTTGAGCATAGCGTAGCAAGCGGCAACAGTTGTTACAGTTTAAAATAAGAAATACGCATATGTATGTATATATATATATATAAATACATTAAGTAATTAATTTTGTGTTTATTTGTTTCTATTAAGAAAAGATTAGACGACATATGTACATATATGAGAACGAGGGTATGCTGATAGGAAAACGAAAAAATATAATTTAACAAAAATTATGTAAAATTCATTTAAAACTTGATTCAAAAATTTAAAGTAAAATTATTAGAGACTTTTGGGTAATTAAGTTTAGCAAAAACACAATAATATTTTTTCATAACAAAGTGAAAATTATCCTAAAAAGCTACAATTAAAATTAAATATTTAATTAATTAATTTGGTCCAGAATTATTATAAACTAAATATAAACTATTCAAAGAGTCATTTGAGCGAATTGTTAATTACAAAACTTATAAATATTAATTAATTAATTAAAATCTCCAAGTCAAAGTAAAAAGGTTAGTTACGGACTTCACGATATGCCCTCGTAGATTTTAGAGGTGTGTTCGCTGAATCACAAACTTATTTGCATATATATGTACATATTTGAAATGTATAATTATTAGCAAAAACATTGTTGCGGTTATCACAATATTTTTCTTCTATTTTAATTGTTGATATTGAATATTTATAAGCTCAACTCAACTCAGACTACTTATTGATAATTTGAAGCGACTTTGGGGAGAACAACAAATAAATACTAAGTCTCTCTCTAATGATGTACCTTAATCCAGGTAAGTGGAAGGTTTCTATATTTTTATAATTATTATTTTTTGGACACGATGCCAAACTAAATCAAAATTCAACGGAGAAGCTGTGGAAAGCTGAGAGGACATTGTATCCAAATCGAACAAAATCTCACCGTTACCTCATATAAATCTCTTAATCTCAGGTTTAATAAAAAGAAAACCTTTTTTGCATTAAATTGAATGCTTTATTTTGCATAATTAGTATTAACCGATTTATTTCAAATATGCACCGTTTTGAGTTTTGACGGTAATTTCATTATGCCTCTTTCATAGAAAGCCTTGTCCCTACCAGCAAAAAATTGGGATAATCGATTTTCTCAGGCTTCTCTTGTGACCAGGTCTTTGCCAGCCAAATTATTCACTTGGTACGAGGTTCAGACTATAAGATTGATGCATAAGAACCTCCCAACAAAGCTCTCAGTGCTTCTGGCGAGTCACGATGTCGATGCATGTGGTCTGGCATCGCCCTGATGAAACTCAATTCTCTTCCTGCTGTCTATAGCTGGGTGCTTCTAAGCAATTACTTTCTTCAGACAGTCCAATTGCTGACAGTACAAGTCGGAATTAAGAGTTTCATCGTCAGGGGGAGCAGCTCATTGTGCATGATTCCTTGCCAAGCAAACACACAACAAAACCGCTTTCGTTGGACGTTGCTGTAAGTGATTCACTTTCCACAACCAGTAACCATCCGTTTCAGAAATGGTTTGAATTTGTTACGATTCAGGAGAGTTTCGCAGATGGAAATTCGGTTCATGAGGGGTTAAAGCTTGTGGCAGCCATACATCGAGCTTCTCTGTATATTCAGTCTTTTTCAACCTTTTTTTTTTTGTTGCCATATTTAGCTCCTGGCTGATCCAAGCAGTGCCCGCATGGCCTTCCATACTCTAGAGCATTTCTTGCAACGAAATTACCGAAACGAAATGGACGAAGCCTAATTGTGCTTGATTGACAGTTACGTAGTTGATACTGAGTTAAGTGGTCTACACTTCTGCTGTTATCATTTTTGGTACAAAATATCATCTTTCTGATGACATCTAGCGTAGTCCGGTCGCACTTATGAATAGATCACTCAAGCCATCTATTACAAAAATAATGGATTACTTTTTACTTGACCTAAAAATTCAATTTTGTTTACCTAAACAACTAGGGATGCACACTTTTCCCCAAAGTAAAATCAAAGAGATAATTATTTGCAATTAAAAAACTGGAAAGAATGGAAATTTATTTTTTAACAATATTTTTTTTTTTACATATAAAATCACAAATAAAATGAAATAAATCACATTTTCTACTTTGAGGCAACATTTTGCTTCACCAACGCCAAATTCTCCTTGAAGAAGCACAAAGCACCACGATATGCCCGAGTGCAAGCGTCCTCTCCGGCAGCATCACCTTCCTTAGCGCAATTTTCGATTTTGCCATGCAACTCATTGGAATGATCCACATCACCACCGCCCAATTGGTGGTGCACTTTGTGTACATCAAAACCCTTGGCATCGTCGAACAGACCGAAGCTCTCCAAGACACACTTCAAATAACAACGACTCTTCTCATCATCTGGATACTCCCATTTCTTGTATTTCTCAACCAAATCAGCTGGTATACTCAATTTTGCGACGCACTGATCACGATAGCGTGCCAGATCCTCACCGGTTTTCACCACATAATCAGAGTGATCGCCGTGATCAGCGACAACCTAAAGAAATACAAAAACCAAAAATATTAAAAAATTTTAAAATGCAAAACAAACAAAAAATAAATTATTAATAAAAAATAAAAAAACTTATATATGTAAATATGTATGTATTATTACTATTACGAACCACAGCGAAGAACAACGAGAGCAATGCCAAGCAGAACTTCATAATTATTTGTTGTGTACTTGAGCGAGCGAAGCAGATAAAGCAACTGTTGTGCAGTATAAGCTCACACAGGCTTTTTATAGCTTACAGCGGTGTGCTCAGAAAAAGAGGCAAATGCTAGTGACAACGGTTAAGCAAAGAATATATCTACATACATACATACATACATACATATATATATACATGATAAAATAATATGAGAATAAGTACGAAACACATCTGGCGCCATTGAGGTGATCCGTAGGATGCTGTACGGGCAACGACGTTGCCTAATTATATATATATATATATACACACATACATACACACACACACTTTCTTATTGAAGTTCAATCGGTATAATTTATTGTTATTGCATTAAGTTTTCATTTCATTTATGTTTGTATATACGAAACAATAAAATTTACAGACATACATGCATATATACGTACACAATCATGAATTCATTCAAGGCGAGTCTATAGGACCTTTAGAGCTTCTCTTTAAGGAGTAGAGAGCCAAACGAGCTGGGAATTGAAACTGCTCGTTTGCTATACAAAACTCAGTTTTGCATATTTCTTTTGTCCAAATTGAAAAAAAAAAATCTTTTAGATCTTAGAGCTCCGATTTTGATTTCATCCTTTCGTAGTAGCAGCATTTTCTCTTTATTGGCTTATGCCGAGTTAACAACAACGCGTAATTCGTTCCTTCTCTTCGCTGTTCGGCGCCGATTGCAAATACTCAGAGAAGCCAAACAAGTCGCTCTCCTCCGGATCCTTCTCACATAGAGCATGTAGTCCCTTCCTCAGCTTCTACCAACAAATGTACGGCATCGAATACATTCAGTGATTTTATTCAATCGGGCGACTTGACCCAGCCAGCAAAACCGTTTTCTCGATCGTATGGCATTCGCCGTTGACCAAAGGGCCATACATCTTTCGTAGAACATTTCTCTCGAAGACTCCCAAGGCCAAACCACCGAATGTCGACATCCTCCCTTCTGCCGTACTGACAGCAGGACGAGAATGCTGCGGAACTCGTACGGTTTGGTTTTGTTCTTTAAGATAGAACCTTATTTTCAAAGCGTCAAAGCTAGGAAACTCTATGACCACTCTCAATATACCCGTGAAATATAAGCCGAAGCGAGGATCCACCACTAAGAGTGTTGCGCCCGGCAACTTAAAAGGAATTATATTGTCTCGAAAGTTCTCGAACATGTTAGTCATATTGTACTAAGGAATGCTGCAGGAGGTGGACAAAGAATTATCTGAGTGGTTAGCAATGGTCAATTCGAGATCATGTTAGTGGTTTAATTAAGCTGAAAGACAGCCTACACGCTTTAACTCTGCTCATGGCCACGATTATAATAATAAGCCGCAGCTGCTCAAACTGTTATCCGTCAGAAGTTGGAGAGAAATTCTTGGCAAGAAACGATGGCAGTAGCTTGGGCTTTCAAAAACTAAAATTCGAGCACCAGGTACTAGTAAGACACAAGTGAGGTAACGCTGCTTAAAGTGTCCCAATGACGACTGTTGACCATCTTTGCTCAAAGAGAGACAAGCACGCCAAGAGCGACGTACTAAGCAACAATTATGGAGTTATTTAATATCTTTCCACATCCCATTTCTACGCAGAACGGGATAGAAATCTAAGGTCTGGAAATTAGAGCTCATTAACCTCTTTCTTAGACTATACAATGTCAATAGCTAAAGCGCGTTAGCTGCTACTTTTTCGCACTATCTCAGTTCTAGGTTAGGTTAAAATAGCTACCTATCGTCAATATACTTGGTTTACTAATCGGACCCATCATAATACCACAGAGGAAACCATTTAGCACCACCCGGTAGTCATACCAGAACAATCGACGTAACTTTGCACCTACAGTTAGGCTCAAGTCTTCAAAAGTTTCCGCCACAAGAGACATCAACCTACCGCTTCAAAGTGCGGGACATTTGCGAAGGAAGTACCTTAAGATCTCAGATTCTTCGCACTCTTTGCAACTCCTACATACATAAGTCAAGCGGCATACTTAGACTCTTCCTAACAAACTTGTACGCCATCTCGTTAAATGGAATGGTACTGTATTCTGGTTCCCATACGAAGTATCGCGTTTAGTGATTTTCAGCAGTTCTCCACTTTTTTGTAATAGATTCCAGTGCTCTCAGTGCAGCCTAGTCGCAAGTATTTGCAGACTTCAAGCTCATTTCAGCATAAAAAGTAAAGTATATTTCTGGCATGAAATAAAGGCTGAATAAACATACAAGCGTAGAGTCCATTACCTAACCTCTTTTCCAGTTTTGATCTATCTGAAGGCAACTGTGTACGACGCAAGCTTCCTCACCACATTTAATACCCTTCTGTATGCTGCTAATTTCATTGGCCTGTTCAGTATAGTTTATTTCTTTTTTGGCAGATTTTTATTTTCTGAAGTCTAATTAAACTCGTTGGAGCCTCGTCTAAATACCATTTTATGCGTTTTTAAATAAAAATGATATGAGTTAGAAAGAATATTAAAAAAAAATAAGCAAAATAGTGAAAGTACAAAAATCTACAATAAAACAGTTTGAGAAGCACTCGAAAAATCGCATGGGAGAAATATAGCGACGCATTTAAATATCGAAAGCAAATAACGGAACCAGAACAGCCAGCGACGTCTACCGCCGGGTAGCCACGCTAAGAAAAGAAAAACGTAATTAAAATTAAATTTCCGTTTATTGATTTATTATTCGTTATTACTCATTTTTCGTTACACAATTTATACCAAGTCTAAATGGAAATTCCACCAAATAGAGAATATATATATTTAAATGATACAATGTAAATACGGCTGAATAGTTCAATGAAGAAGCACAGCTTTCCGAGCGTGATAATTCAGCCCCGAAATTGAATTATCGCTTGCATGTTGCGCGACTCCCACAACAACTAACCGCTGCTCGTCCACATGAATTATGAGCTAAACAAATGACCAGTGATTATACAATTTGTTTTTCAAAGGCGAAATAATAAAAACAAAATCAAACAGCAATAGTAACCAGATAATTTCAGCAATTATTGATTAATATTTCTTCAGAATATTGAATTATCCCATCAGAATTCAAGGTAGGGCAAGATTTTTCTAAATATTCATATAATGGCCTAAGCGTGAGTTAAAAAAATAAATATATCTAGTGGAGCGAGAAAATAAGCAAAAACTGCCTCCATTTATCTAAACATCATTTTCACGCTTTTCAAAACAATTTGACACTCAATCATAAACACATTGAGAAGCGATTGTTAAATGTAGACGATCTTCGGCCGATCTTTCCTTCGATTCTTATTGCCTCCAAGAGAGAATCTTTTGCATTCATGCCAGAAGTGCCATAAAATTGCAGATTCTTTAAGGAAAGACTTACTTAGATATTGCTTTGACCACAACTCGAGTCCAAGAACCTCTAATTCATGTCACGGAAGCCTCCCTTACTCTTCTTGTGGCAGCGGTTCGCTAGGTAATCAGTGTCAATGAGCTCATCTAAGAGGAGGCCACGAAAAGCAACTGTTTCAACGGTTTCAGTCCAAAGAGAAGAGGTGTCAGACGAGCTGTATTTTGGGTAAGTCTGTCTCAAGTCTGGATAAATAGTTTTTGTTTGTTACAATATCCACAGCTTGAGTGCGTTAAACACATTGGAATACTGAATATTACGCCATTATGGAAATAGATGGACTGCAATGCTTCTGTATACTGTTTCGACAATACTTTCTCAAGACAAAAAAAAACCCGAAGAGAAAGAATGGGAAAATTCTGTATCAATGGTTCGCATCCATGTTCACTGGCGGCCCTATACTCGATTACAGGATGTATTGCGGAGTTCATTCTAAGCCACTTCCAACCAACATGAATAAGAGACTTCCCGACCACTGCAACGGCCTTCAAGCTGAACTAACTGCAGCAATTCAAGCCGCTTCTTGGTTACTCAACTCAAGTCTGGTATATCAACTTATTACAATATATTTGCCAGCTCAAATATGACAAAAAGCTGTGGGGAAGCAAACTCTAACCTGTAGGCAAAACGACGGTGGTTTGTCCCTGGACTTTTCAAGAAATTCCGAAGCTGACGAGCTGGCAAGAAGCGGTAGAATCTTTATAATTGTGAACTCTGCACGCCATGCGGCATACCTCTTTCCTTTGCAAATTTGCCGGGTAAAACCCCATGCAATGCCATGATCCATGAGAAAAAAGAATTAGGTCTCTACTCGTTCTAAACATATACTCGTACTCGGGTCTCACGGGGTACCTCAAGTGACAGTTCCAATAACACCATTAATAGGAAGAGTAATTGAAAAGGTTTTAATTGACTTTCTATAAGAATGGGGCCAAAAGCCTGCCCGACAGCTACGTAGTCTCTTCATTTGCAACTCAATAGCTCCCTGCATCCATTGTCTGTATAGTTTCTTTACATTTGCCCCAGCTGGTGTCAATCAAGAATTTGAGTATTTTGTTGGAACTCTATACCTTTAAAAGAATCGTGGTCGTATGCATAGTTAAAATGTAACTTTGGATTGTTAATCATCGATGGAATTTTAACATTATCGAATTCCAGATTTATATATAGTCGATAGTCTCTCAGTCGGCTGGTAAAAATGGTCAGAAGTTCGCAGCTGAGATTCTTAAATAGTTGTCAACTTAGTGCACAGGCGCCAAGATTGAACAGCATAAGAGAGGGAGAGGCGGTTTCGAGGAGTAGAGCCTACAGAAACTCGGTCCACAGAGAGGGAAGAAACTGATTTTCCATCATCTAAGTGTGCGTCGGCCATAAAATTCTCCTGAAGAGCCTTATATCAGGCTATTAACCGGTAAAATTCACCTCTAAATAAATAGATTTTACTCTTTATAATTCGCTCAAACTGATTCGAGCATTTTCGACGTGCACCAAATCTATGAAAAAAAACGCTTTGACAACTCAAGAGAAGAAAATTATAAACCAAAAAATTATTTATATGTAAATTTACTTCTTCTTCTTTGGTGCTACTTACGCAATTATAGTCGAGTTAACAACAGCGCATCATTGGAATACCGATTGCAATTAGATTCTTTTCCACCTCGCCCTTTCAGGA